AGTGGTTCCCCTTTTTTTTTTTTCTTTTTTTGCTGGGAGTTGGCAACCCTATTAGTTAGGTATATGTAATTATAAATTAGGTTGTTTTATATTTTTGCTAAAGACCGTTTAGAATACCAGAATAGGGAGGGTGGTGTAGGTTTAAGTTTATCATAAAGGCTTTATGGCTTTTCCTATAATACCATGGTGGGCCGGTCACTAGTCAAAATGCCCGGGCTGATTCTTTGTCCCAGTCCAGCCCTGCATATCACAGTGTGTGCTATTTCAGCCAACAGTGCACCTATATCTTCTCTGAAAGTCAACTAAATGAAAAGCGTAATATCTAATTTCATAAGAAGACACATGGTTCAGTGTTATAGCCTCTTACTTCTGTAGAAGACAATAAATTAAGACCCTTTCCAGGAGCTGAAAAGTGCTATATGTGAAATGTTGTAAGAAGGCACAAAATATCTGGGAATCCTCAAAGGTTACAAAGGATTTAAACCAGAAAAAAATGTATCAAAACCTGCATGGAGCAAGAGGATTTACTTCTCAAGTTAGCATCAGCAGAATAAATTTAGACTTAAAACATCTGATTTGTATGTGTTTTTACTAAACCTTCATCAGAGGTTACAAGATACAAAGAGGTTACGAAGATACAGACGATACTCTCGAGACTGGATTAAGGACAGGAATGAAGAAAGTGTTCTTTTATTTCACTCCTCCTGAGTACAGACACTCTTTCTTCTCCTGACAGCCAGATTCAGGGTGCCTGCCTGCCCCTTTTGATCTCTATCAGTAACTGAGGAAGCCGGCTCTGAGCTGCGAGCCCCGGATTGAAAATAAAACCCTTCTGTTGCAGCTCTTGCATATCAAAGTGGAAACCAAACATGAAACCGCAGCTGATTTCCTGGCTTTTAACAGTGTGTGCTACAATTCTACTGATGATTCTTTCATATCATTCTTCTACCAGTCCAATAACACTGATGTCATCATGCATTTAATTACACAGCAGAGAGCTGCTCCTCTGACTGTTGGTGGGAAAAAATGTGTTGTTGTTTCAGCTTAATTGTGAAACGCCACAATGATAATCTCCTAGTCTCATTATCCAGATGAGAAGGAGCTCTTTGTCGGAGTCCTACAGCATTAGTGCAAAACAGTTATTCCTGTCCATTAATTAAAAAGCTTTTTAATTAACTTTACTGTTAGCAGACTGCTTTTTAGCTATTTGTGATGCATAATTGTACATTACAGTCGGGAAAGGCAACTCGTAAAACATTTATTCCAACATATTACAAAAACTGAATTATAGCTCCACTTTCTTAGCTTACAGGGCCATGTGGTCTTCTCCTGCTGTAGTTCATATGCTTCTCGGTTTAATGTGCTGTGCCTTCAGAGAGGCTCTTGTACATGAGTGGGTTGTAAAATCATGTATATCACCTTTCTTCTACATTCTGAATCTCGGTTTGAAGTTTAGCACATTGTTTTGACCATGTCTACGTACCTAAATGGGTTGAATTACATTCAGGTATGATACTAGTGTTTAAAGAGGTGTACCTAATGAAGTGGTAGGTGAGTGTATACTGACATGAGGGGCATTTTCTTGCCTGTTTCATTTCTGACATTGGTGTCTTCAAACTATGATTAAAATTATTGTTGGAAGGCATTTTTGAGCAGATAAAAAGCAAGTCCGTGGTGACAGGCTGATGTGAGATCAGTAAGGTGGAAGCAGGAGAGCAGGAGCAGAAGGATACTGAAATCATCACAGGGGAATATTTTAACATGCGAAATATTTTTGGGAGCAGGATTTCGTTGAAGAGCTAAAAAGGAGAGACACGTTTTTCTTATCCTTGTTATGTTTTACATCTCTGGGCTTCCACAGATCCATTTGCAAGTGCTTTATGCTGTTTACTCAAAGGAAGTTCCCGCGGTGCGCTGCAGGGACTTCCTCTGAGTAAACAAAGAAATGGCAAGATAACATTATGTAATATCGGTGTTCAGTGGGCAGGGAATTAACAAGTAAAGATGAGGAATTTTCTGGTTGGGGGGGCAGTTTAACATTTTATCTTTACATTTGATTATTTCATCAAATTCTTCAGTGGCACTTTCTCACTTATCCGCCCGACTCAGCCACATCAGATAGATAACTCAGCTGAAGGGTTTTTTGAGTATTGCATTAAAAGGGTGACCTGAAAAGAAAAGGCAAGACCGCGTCGTCTTCTTCCATCATCTCAGGAATCTTTTCTGATGATTATGTCCATTGTAGGTGTGGAAATGGTTAATAACTGAGAAATGTCATATAAAATCAGGTGAGTTGAACCCATTTAAAAAACAAAAACAAAACAAAACCCAAAGGTCATTAGGAGCAGTTATTGTTTTTTAGACTAACGGGTGTGGAGGTGTGAAAAAGGCTGGGGACCACTGGATTAAGAGACAATAGGCTACTTAAAGACACACAGGAAACCAGTGGGTCATATAATGTCCCTGCAGACTAATTGTGACTAAGTTAGTTTTGGGTCTACTTGACATTCATGCACAATCTGCAGCTATTGTTTGTTTCTTTGTGGTACTTCAAATCAGAATAACTGGTCTGGTTTGGTTTGATGATTGGAGATTGCAGAACGACAGACGACTTCTTTCCAACGAAAGTTTTTTAATGGATTTAAGGAGAAAAAAAAAGACAAACGAAGCAAGTGACTTTTTATTATTTTTATTCACTGACTAAAAGAAGAGAAGCATTCATTCCACAATAATTCAAATCAACATTCGGCAGGTTGACCCCTCAAGTGTATGCCATCTGTCAGTTCAGAGGTTTTACGTGGAGGTTTTTAACGCGTCCTCCCTTTTCTTCACCACAGAGCCATGGATCAACACTGTTCAATGATAAAATCTGTCCTCTTACTTCCAGAGGACTCTTCCCCTGCAGACTAATCCAAAAAACAGCTGGGACAATTTCAAATATCACTTTTATGTGCCTTTTCTTGTGGACATTTAGGGTAAAACTCTGTTTTGCTTGGTCTTAAAAATCCACAAGCCATCCTTTTAATCACACCTTGGTCTGTTTGATATAGCTCAGGTGAGTTACAGAATCGACTCGCTTTTAAAGCTCTGTGCAGAACAGATTTTTTTCAGTTTCTGAAATATGCTCTGTGGTACGTGAAGTCTATCCAGCTGTGTTCTGGGTTCAGTCTGGTTCCCTGCTTACAGAAAGGAGGTAATAACCCGGTGCTATGTGCTCACGTTAACCGACACAGTCGCACAGGAACGTTACGCTCAGAATATTCAACATTAACGATGGTAAAACCATTTCTGCAAAAAACACACAACAACAGAGCTTCTGATTTACAAAGTCTGCGTGATTTCAGAGTATACTTCATGTTCATAAATTGAACCCGGACATGTGTTGCATAAGAGTATACCACGGTAATGCATTGTTGATACCTATACAAATATGCACTGTGTGAGTTTAGATATCTATATATAGTTTATATTTCTTCCTCTATGGTTTTTCTAAAGATGCAGCCGGGCGCCGTCAGCACTGCTTGTGCCCCCTTTGTGGCCACTAGTAAGACTGCTGTTATTGCAAACTGTCCTGATTTTAAACAAATGCACAACATTCGTACCACGATAAAACTGGGGCCATCTAGCCAGTCTCACAGAGACCAAGAGTGAGCCCGCCGTCACCGCTGCTGTCGCTGGGCTGGCTGACCAGAATCAAAAAGATCTTAAAACTAAACGATAAGATTTCAGAAATCATCATAAGGCCAAGTATTGTCATTGCAAGTTCTTATTAGTTTACATCTTCGTTTCTATTGTATGACAGTGAGAAAAACCAAATATAAAAATAGGAGGAAAAGAAAAAAGAAAAAGAGGGTGAGTGTGGATTATATGCATTCCTCTTGCATAGTTGTATTGCTGGACTGGGCAGCAGGCCTGCCTGCCTGGCTAATTAGGAGGTTTGGCTCTCCAGACTTGACAAGAACGACTTTGTTTACCAGCCAGAAACATCACAGCCACAGTAGCTGAGATCTAAATGGAGATAGTTGGCCGACACTGAGCATGAATATCTATCAGGTCCATGATACAGTCAGGCGCTGCGTGAATCTCGCCATGCACCAACGATACTGACAGAATTTGGCCAGGTTAATGCCATCAGTGCCATTTTGTCGTTTCGCC